TCCGCCGCATGTACGAGTCGAACGGTCTCTTCCCCTCGTTCGAGAACCTCGTCCCAGTCCTCGTGGAGGCTCAGCGCCTGGCGATGAGCCGGCGTTCCTGCCCTGCCTTCTCACGCGCCGGCGGCAGGTCCGCAACGCGAGTCTCAGATGGGTCACCGGGACACAGCCAGCTTATGGCGCCGTCGGTGCCACGTTCCCACGCCAACTCGGAAGGCACTTCGGCGACAACGTCGCCGATGCACACGGAACGCCCCCGGCTCGTTGTCGGCGGGTCTCCGCTGTAGTACGTCCGGTGAAATCAACCGCGCCCTCTCCGCACACCAACCCAGAATATCTGCACAGTATCTCGGTGAAGACCCAGCGGCGCCTCGACGCGAATCCGATTAAGTTTCTCCTCAATTGGCAGCCTTGTTGCCCGGCCCCACGCCCGAGATTGAAGGCCCTTAGCGATCTGCTCCATGATCCTCGAACATTATTCTACCTATGGAGAGCGGGTGGCGGGGCCACGTCAGCACGATGGCCGTGCCCAGTTGAATCGTTCGTGTGCACATGGCCGCGGCCGCCAGGATGCTCGGGGTGTCCCGGCGAATGTTGTTGTCCGCGGTCCTGGGTCCACCTGTAGATCATCCACACCCTGATCCCAGTCTTCGGCATGTCGATTCGCCCACACTCTCGTGGAGTCGACCGTCGGACTTCCATGCCGACGCGGTCGTTCCGGCCATCACGTTAAACCTCACTTTTCCCGGCCGGCGGTACACCCCCGTGCCAGCGATTACCTTCGTAGGAGCCTTGCTAGAACCCGACTGTCCATGCGTGCATGACTCCTGATCCGTGGCGCGTGACGATCGAGGCGGTTCTGGTTCTGCCTCCAATTAAGGTCGCCGACCGGCCGGTGGCCAAGCGCACTCCCAGCCTGTAGCCCCGCCCGTGTCTCGACTCCAGCTCATGACCCCTTAGTGGTTCAGGACACCCTCCGCGTAGGCTCTTCGAGTCCGTAGGCGAACCGCGCTTCAAGAGATCTCGCCGTTGTGTCATTTAGAAGCGAATCCGCTGCGCCGCGGTCCCACATCCGCTGCAAGAACTTGCTGGTAGACCCAAATGGAAACCACAAGGTCCCGCGGACCAAGGCGCCGATGCTCCTGAGCGAGCGCACCATCGCCGTACCCCCCCCTCGCGTTCCAGCCCGCCCGCATGCGTCGCAAGCCACCGGCCGTGCCCCTCCGCGGTCCACCCCGTCGCCGGATTCCGATAGCGCAGGCCGCCACCGAGTTCCACGCCGGCGCCGGTGTCTCCGTCGCCACCGTCGTGGCGCACGCCCAACTCGCCCCACGGAGTGAGGGAACCACCGGCCGGGAACCATAGTCGCGACTAGCCTGGAGGCTCAACCGCAGACGCCCCAGGTCTATCCCCGATCCGAACGCTCCGCCGCCGCGCCCCACATCCAGCCGTGCAAGCGCGGCCTCGCCTTCAGGTTCAGTTTCGTCGTCCCGCGCGGGAGAGTCGGGCACTGATCCCCACCGCACCCGAGTCCAGCTTCGCGTCGTTCTTGCGGAGGTCCCCGATGACGTCGTCCGTACGCCCAAGCTTGCCCCAGGCCGCTCCCACCGTCGCCCACACGTGGACGTCAGGCGAGATCGACCAGCCCAGGTAGGGATGCACCCCGGTCAGTTGCAGCTCGTACCGGCCGCGGTCACGCCCGCTGTTCCCACTCTCGCGTCGTAGTCGAAAGATGCCGTCGACTGGGATATGGACAATCCCGCCAGTCCCTTTGAACCGAAAGGAACGCCCGATCGGGATCCGGCCCATCCCGCCAGTCCCGTAGTATCCAGCCTCACCTCGACTCCGAACTGCCCGCTGAAGACCTCGCCGTCCCACGCGACCGCGTGGTCTTTGCCGCCACCAGCGAGACTGCGGTAGTCGCCGCAACCCCACACCGTAACACCGCTCTTCGACGGCACCAGGAACGAAGCGCCGGCCAGCGCCTGCGCCAAGGTCAGGGGCTTGGCGTTAGCTGCGGTCCACCCCACAGACGTGGGTGCGGGAGATGCCGGCAGCTTGACGAAGGGCTGGGCCGCACCGTTGGCAAGGTCCGAGAACGCCTGATCGATGCGGCACCTGACGGAGGTGAAAGCCAGCGCCCGTGCCATCTCCGGGAGAAGGGCCCGGTTGACCGGATCGAAGACCTGCTCCGGATCGTCGGTGATCTTGCCTACTCCGGTACCGTCGCGTACGGTCGCCCCCACCGCGGCACTCAGCTCCACCGTGAATCGCTCGTCTCCCTCGACCCGTTCATCCGTCAGCGTCTTCACGCTCAACGTGCGGGTAGTCGTTCCCGCGTCGAATCGCAGCGTCCCCGATGCCGCCGTATAGTCCGTACCCGCCTCTGCCGTCCCGTCCACCGTCCGGTAGGATACGGTCACCGGGGTGGCGCCGCGGGCGCTCAAACGTACCACGAACTTCGCCGTACCCCCCTCGAGTACGGTCGTGTCCGCGATATACAGTCGTGGCAGGGGAGGGAGAGCCTCCCCATCGTCGTCAAGGATCGTGCCCGTACCGATGTGGTCGCGCAGCGTCGCGCCATTCGCTGAGGTCAATACCACCGTGAATGTCTCGTCGGGCTCCGCCAGGTTGTCCTCCCGCGTCCTGACCCTGACGACATCTCGCATGCTCCCCACCTTGAAGGCCAGAGTGCCCACGATCCGCGTGTAGTCTGAGCCAGCCTGCGCGGTACCATCCATCGTCCGGTACGATACCGTCAGCGCGCCCTGACTCGCCCGGCTAAGCGTCACCGCCAGCATCGCCGTACCGCCCTCTTCCACTGTCGCATCCGCTATCGATACCTCGATCGTCGTGTCCTCGGTGCCCGTCCCACCGTCGTCGTCAATGATCGTCCCCGTACCCGCTCCGTCACCCAATATCGCCCCGCTCGCCCCGCTCAACTCCACCCTGAATGTCTCGTCAGCCTCCCCCTCCTGGTCCTCGATCGTCGCTACCTCGATCACCTCCCGCCGGCTCCCCGCCAAAAACGTCAGCGTCCCCGTCGCCGCCGTGTAGTCCAACCCCGCCACCGCCGTCCCCGCCACCGTCCGGTACTCCACCGTCACCGCCCGATCACTCGCCCCGCTCAGCGTTACCTCGAACTCCGCCGTCCCCCCCTCGTCCACTCTCGCCTCATCCCCGATCGATACCTCCGGCGCAGCCTCGTCGTCTACAATCGTCCCTACCTATCCGTCCCCCGCACCGCCCCCACTCGGGCCACTCAACTCCAGCCGTGAATACTCGTCCAACTCCGCCAACTCGTCTCGAGCTCGTCCCTACCTCATCGTCGCCGCCCTCCTCCCCGCCGCAGGTCAGCGTCCGCCGCCGCCACCGTGTAGTCCAACCGCCACAGTCCATCCCGCCGCCCTGCACCGTCCCGTTCCCTAACTCCACCGTCACCTTGCCACTTCCGTACATCACTGCTCCTTGTTCTCCAGCGTTCTTTCACTCTGAACCTCCGCCTCCCCCCTCGTCCAACGTCTCGCCTCCCCATGATCGTCATACCCGACAAATCCTGGCGCAGCCTCGTCGTCTACAATCGTCCCTACCCCTATGCCGTCCCCCAGCACCGCCCCACTCGGGCCACTCAACTCCACCGTGAATACTTCGTCCAACTCCGCCAACTCGTCCTCGATCGTCGCTACCTCGATCACCTCCCGCCGGCTCCCCGCCAAAAACGTCAGCGTCCCCGTCGCCGCCGTGTAGTCCACTCCCTCCTCCGCCGTCCCCGCCACCGTCCCGTACTCCACCGTCACCGCCTCATCACTCGCCTTGCTCAGCGTCACCGCCAACTCTACCGTCTCGCCCTCTTCCGCCGTCACGTCCGCTATCGACAACTCCGGCAACGCGTCCCCCGTGCCCGTATCCGTGTCGTCGTCAATGATCGTCCCCGTACCCGTGTCGTCGCGCAACGTCGCCCCACTCGGTGCCCTCAACTCCACCGTGAACCCCTCGTCCGACTCCGCCAACTCGTCCTCGATCGTCTCTACCTCGATCACCTCTCGCCTGCTCCCTGCCAAAAACGTCAGCGTCCCCGTCGCCGCCGTGTAGTCCGACCCCGCCAACGCTGTCCCCCCTACCGTCCAGTACATCACCGTCACCACGTCCGCACTCGCCTTGCTCAGCGTCACCGCCAACTCCACCGTCTCGCCCTCTTCCGCCGTCGCATCCGCTATCGACAACTCCGGCAACGCGTCCCCCCTGCCCGTACCCGTGTCGTCGTCAATGATCGTCCCCGTACCCGTGTCGTCGCGCAACGTCGCCCCATTCGGTGCCCTCAACTCCACCGTGAACGCCTCGTCCGACTCCGCCAACTCGTCCTCGATCGTCGCTACCCCGATCGTCGCCCGCCTCTCCCCCGCCAAAAACGTCAGCGTCCCCGTCGCCGCCGTGTAGTCCAACCCCGCCACCGCCGTCCCCGCCACCGTCCGGTACTCCACCGTCACCGCCCGATCACTCGCCCCGCTCAGCGTTACCTCGAACTCCGCCGTCCCCCCCTCGTCCACTCTCGCATCCCCAATCGATACTTCCGGCGCTGCCTCGTCGTCCACAATCGTCCCTGCGCCGATGCTCTCCCCCAGCACCGCCCCGCTCGGGCCACTCAACTCCACCGTGAACCCCTCGTCCGACTCCTTGAGATCGTCCTCCGTCGCCTGAACCTCGATGGTCTCCTCCGTGCTCCCCGCCGCGAACGTCAGCGTCCCCGATGCCGCCGTGTAGTCCGTACCCGCCTCCGCCGTCCCGTCCATCGTCGTGTACGTCACCGTCACCGCCTGCTGGCTCGCCTCGCTCATCCTCACCTCGAACTCCGCCTTCTCTCCTTCCTCGACCGTCGCATCCCTAATCGACAACGTCGGCAACGGTGGTGGTGGCGGTGGTAGTAGTGGTTAGTGCGGTGGTGGTCGCGCGCTGTCGTTATCCGTGATCGTCCCCGTGCCGGTCCCGGTCTGCACCGTCGCCTTCTCCGGCCCGCTCAACACAACCGTGAACCTCTCGGTGGATTCCTGCTCGGTATCATCCGTCGTCCGGACCGTCACCGTCCTCGCCGTCGTTCCCGCCGTAAACGTCAGCGTCCCGCTCGACCGCGTGTAGTCCGACCCCTCCGCCGCCGTCCCACCCGACGTCGCGTAGCCCACCCTCACCGTCTCACTGCTCGACGCGCTCAGCGTTACCTCAAACTTCGCCTCCTCTCCTTCTTCCGCCCTCGCATCCCCGATCGACAACCTCGGCAACGGAGGCGGCGGCGGCGCGCCGTCGTTGTCCGTGATCGTCCCGTGCCGGTCCTGTCTGCACCGTCGCCTTCTCCGGCCCGCTCAACACAACCGTGAACCTCTCGGTGGATTCCTGCTCGGTATCATTTGTCGTCCGGACCGTCACCCTCCTCGCCGTCGTTCCCGCCGTAAACGTCAGCGTCCCGCTCGACCGCGTGTAGTCCGACCCCTCCGCTGCCGTCCCACCCGACGTCGCGTAGCCCACCCTCACGTCTCACTGCCCACTCGCAGCGTCTCACCGTACCTCAAACTCCGCCTCCTCTCCTTCTTCCGCCCTCGCATCCCCGATCGACAACCTCGGCCACGGAGGGCGGCGGCGCGCCGTCGTTGTCCGTGATCGTCCCCGTGCCGGTCCCGGTCTGCACCGTCGCCTTCTCCGGCCCGCTCAACACAACCGTGAACCTCTCGGTGGATTCCTGCTCGGTATCATCCGTCGTCCGGACCGTCACCGTCCTCGCCGTCGTTCCCGCCGTAAACGTCAGCGTCCCGCTCGACCGCGTGTAGTCCGACCCCTCCGCCGCCGTCCCACCCATACGTCGCGTAGTCCACCCTCACGTCTCACTGCTCGACGCGCTCAGCGTTACCTCGTCAACTCCGCATCCTCTCCTTCTTCCACCCTCGCATCCCCGATCGACAACGTCGGCAACGGCGACGCTGCAACCACATTCACCCTCACGTGGCCCACTTCGTGCACCGGACAGTTGGTGTCGTGATCCCACACATCGTGGTAAAACAAGAACGAACCAACCTCCGCGTCGTCATCCACCATTATCGTGACCGTTCGCCATTGATTCCAGTTGTTCCGATTGAACTCCCGGCCCACCGACGGAACCCAACGGATTCCTTTGTAGTCGCCGTCTATTCGAACCGCGCCGTCGACGAACACCCTGACCCACCAGCCGTCGCCGGTGGGTGCCTGGCTAAGCTTCAACTGATAGCTTTGTGTCTGGCCCGGTTGAAGGTTCAGGGTGGGCGGGTCCACCATCACCGTGCCGTCGCCCCAGTTGTTAACTTGGGCCTGCACCGTCGTGATACCGGAGAGGAGCACGGACAACGCGATAGCAAAAACGATTAGACGCCTGTGAAGAAATCCTGGACGCGGACGCGGCTGGAAAGACACCGTCAGCAGGCTCCCTCGACCGAGTCCCCGGGAAATGTCGGAGACGCGGTGGCCTGGCGAGCGGCCGCGCATTCTCCGAGGTCACCGGGAAGGACAGAAGCGACTTCGTCGAATATCCGGATGGGCTGCATGAATGCTGTATCCCCTACATATGCGACAAACACCGCGCTACGCCTACTACATATACCACAGTTTACGCATTTCGTGACACCGGTCCATAATCGGCGGTCTTGCGGACCATTGACCGGCAGGTTCCCGCCCCGCCCCAACGCGCTCCGGGATTGACGCGCGCGCACCATTCCAATAGACGAGAGAAGTCGATCCGACCTGTTTTCGGGTCACTCGACGGAGGTGATGATGAAATCGGGAATGCGCCCCCTCGAAGAACTGAAGCCGGAGATCCTGCGGCGTGCCGGCCGCGCCAACCCCTTCGAGTGGGTCAAGCGGGAGGATGCCGAAGAGGTGGTCTCGTGGCTCGAGTCCACCGAAGACGACCACTGGGCGGAGGTGTGGGGCCGGATGGGCGAACGGTATGAGGCGCGGGGTGAAGAACAGGAGAAGAACGGCGAGCCCTGCGGCGAATCCTTCTATCTCGCCTACGACTACTATCGCATCGGCCGCTATCCGGTGGCCTCGACCCCCGGCAAGAAGGCCTGTTACGAGGCGTCACTACGAAACTTCCTGAGGGCGTCCCGCCACATGGATCCCCCGGTGGAGCGGGTGGAGATACCCTTCGAAGGGAAGTCGGTGATCTGTTACCTACAGATCCCGCGCGACGTGGACCCGCCTCCCGTAGTGCTTCACTGGGGTGGCGTCGACGGCTGGAAAGAGGACCGGCGCAGGCCCAGTGAGGCGTTCCACCGGCTGGGCCTTGCGACCATGACCATCGACATGCCCGGGGTCGGCGAAAGTCCCGTTCTCGGCTCGGATCCCAAGGCTGAGCGGACCTTTTCCGCGGCCCTGGACCACCTGGAGACCCGCGAGGACGTGGACGGCTCCCGCCTGGGCGTCATGGGAGGAAGCTTCGGTGGATATTGGGCTGCCAAGGTGGCCCATGTGGAAGCGAAGCGGCTCAAGGGGGCGGTGGACTGGGGCGGCGGCGTGCACCTGACCTTTCAGGAAGAGTGGCTGCGGCCGGCCTTGACCACCCGGGCGGAGCAGTATCTCATGGGACCGGCGAGCCTGCTGGACGCGCGCGGCTACATCTTCCGCACGCGGGATCTTGATGAGATCCTGAAGCTGGCGCCGCAACTCTCACTGGTAACCCAGGGCCTGATCGATAGTCCCTGCGCCCCCTGCTGCTCATCAACGGCAAGCTCGACGACCAGCATCCCATCGATGACTTCTACCTGCTGCTGGAGCACGGCGACCCCAAGGAAGTCTGCATCTTCCCGGACGGGGGACACATGGGGCGCGTGCCCGGCAAAGCCAACGAGCCGGCGCTCAACACGCTGGTGCAGTGGCTGCACGGGAAGCTCACCGGGTAACGGCGCAATCCCGCAGGCTTCTAGTCGTCGAAATATCCTTCCTTCGCCGCCCACAACCACAGGTGCGCGATTTTTTCATTGTGCAGCTCGGCGTAACCCACGTGGCCGTACCGTGGGATCAGGACCACGTGGCTGCCCCGGGCCGCCTCGGCGTATTTGGCGCCCATGAACATCTCGCGCTTGTCCTCCAGCCGGTCTCCCCTGACCCAGTGCCCTTTGTCGTTCTCGCCCACCACCAGTAGCACCCCGATGCCCTTCAGCCACTCGGGGTCGGGGTCCTCGAGATGATCGTAGTACTCCTCCCGTGGCAGGCCGGTAAGCTCCACGTAGCGGTCCAGGATCCCGATGGCGCCGTTGTGCTGGTTGTCGCACAGGCTGGTCTTCATCTGGGACCGCATCGGATTGGCCCACGCCATGTACTCGTCGGGGCCGCCCCAGGGGGTCAGGTCCTCCGGGTCCTCATACCGGGCCGCACGGAAACTCTCGGGCGAGCGGCGGGAGAGCTGCTCCACCGGCACCTCGCTGTACTCCTCGGCGCCGGTCCGGTCGCGCCATTCCTTGCGCCAGCCATCGGGTCCGCCGGAACCGAACCCCAGAAGCCCCGTCACGCGGGCGCGCTGCACGAAGCGATACAGATGGGCCGCCATGGGTCCGCCGGTGGAATGGCCGAAAGCCAGCACGTCACGGTCCGCCAGGTGCTCGTCGGTGAGGAGGCCGGCTCCCTGCAGAATGGTGTTGAACGTGCACTTGAGATTCCGGTCCAGGATTTCACTCACGGGGAGGTCCCGGTCGAGGAGGTACACCGGCATGCGCTCCGGCACCGGTTCCGTCCACACGCCGCCCGGCGGGTAGTGGCCCGGGTAGGTGACTGCCAGCGTCAGGAATCCCTGCGAGGCCAGGACCCGCGCCAGCCCGGGGCGGCCGTCGGGGGTCAAGTCCATGATGCGCTCGCTGCCGGCGCCGCCGTGGAACACCACCACAGCACGGCCGGGTTCCGGCTCCCGGTCCGGCGTGTAGAGGGTGCCGTGAATGTCCCACTCATAGCCGTTCCGCTCGTACCGCGCCGTCACCTCCCGGGCGGCGAACCCCACTTCGCCGTAGGGTGCGGGCATGGCCAGCCAGCCGTCCCAGTCCATCTTCAGCAGGAGATCCGTGGACCTCAACCCCGCCAGCATCCCTTCAATCGTTCCGTTTCGCGTGCTCATGGGGTGCCGGGATACTACAGGATGACGCGCCGGGTCAACGGCGCCTCTTGGCGGTCGGGGGCCGGGATACGGTTCTAGTGTACTGTCTCACAAATACGCTTACGAATCTGCGGGTCCTTTTGCGCCGTCGGCTGCGTTGCTCTTCCTCGCGTGGTAACGGCCACACGGGCGGGTTTGAAACCCGCCCCTACAAGTCATCGCGCCTTGCCGACGACCAAAATGCCCTCGCATCTTCATAACCGTATTTGTGAGACACCACACTAGCAACGCCGCAGTTCACGCCTGGGCTTTTTTTTAGTAGATTCTTCACCAAAGGAGTTGAGACATGCTGGATGCGGGAGCGAGGTTTCCAAGCGGGCAACTGGAAGATATCGACGGCAAGCTCATCGAGTTTCCACGGGTCTTCGTGGCGGCGCCGGCCACCGTGGTGTTCTTCTATCGGGGCCAATGGTGACCGTGGTGCCGGGCCCAGGTTGCGGCCTTCCTCTACGAGTACGAACGGTATCGTGAAAACGGCGTGGCGATCATCGGCATCTCACCCCAGAGCCGGGAGAACGTCGAACAGTTGCGCGAACGGACACTGCGCGACGCCCGCTTTGACGCCCAGGCTCACGGCAACCACTCCGCGTTCTGGCAAGACCCCGGGAGCGCCTTCCCGCTGACCCTCATCAGCGATCCGGAGGGAACCCTGAGCGGCCCCGCGGGCGCTCGGCGCGAGGGGCATTGGAGCGGCCCCATGGTCTATGCCACCACGCTGGTGGTGGACCGGGAGGGTGTGGTCCGGTGGTCGTTCCAGTCGGCCATGGCGCAGCGGCGGCCGAGCCCGGTGCGACTCGCGGCCATTGCGGGTACGGTGGCCAACGACACGCCCATCCCCGAATATCGAGAGGAGTAGCAACAGTGCTCGTGATCGGGTTCCAAGAGCGGTCCGGGGCGCGCCGATGCGTTCTTCCATGAAGGCCATTGCCTTGAGGGAGTTCGGCGGCGCGGACGTGCTGCGGATGGAGGAGCTTCCCATCCCTTCGCCCGCGGCGGCCGAGGTGCTGATCCGCGTCCATTCGGTTTCGGTCAATCAGACCCTGGACCTCAAGGTCCGGGAAGGGAGCTACCGCACCGATCTCCGGTTCCCCGTGGTGCTGGGGGCCGATCCCGCGGGGGTGATCGTGGACACCGGCGCGGGGGTGCCGGCGACGCGTTGCGGCGAGCGGGTGTCCGTGGTGGCGTCCATTCGCTGCGGCGAGTGCCGCTTCTGCCGCATGGGGCGGGAGGACTCGTGCCCCCGGAGCAAGCATCTAGGGCTCGATCGCTGGGGCGGGTATGCGGAGTACGTGACCGTGCCGGTGGAGAACGTCTTTCCCATCCCGGACAATCTCTCTTTCGGCGAAGCCTCGGTGATCACGCGTCACTTTCCCACGGCCATCAACCTGCTGCTCAACCACGCGCGGCTCGAGAAGGGCGAGTGGGTGCTGATCATGGGGGCGGCGGGCGCCCTGGGCAGTTGCGGCGTCCAGATCGCACGGCACCAGGGGGCCCGGGTGATCGCCGCCGCCGGCGCCGACTCGAGGGCGGAGGCCGCCAAGGGTTACGGCGCCGAGTTCACCGTCAACTACCGGCGGCAGGAACTGGAGCAGGAAGTGCTTCGGATCACGGACGGTCACGGCGTTGACGTGTTGTTCGAGAATATCGCCGACCCGTCGCTGTGGCCGGGAGCCTTCAACAGCCTCGCTTTCGCCGGCCGTCTGGTGACCGCCGGCGCCCACGGCGGCGGCACCGTGCCGTTGGACGTCAAACGGCTCTACCTCAGGCGCATCCGCATCATCGGGCAGCCCGGAGCCAGCCGGAGTGACGTGGAACTCGCCCTGTCACTGGCCGCCCGGGGCTCGATCCGGGCCATCATCGACCGGATCATGCCGCTTGGAGCCGTGAAGGAGGCGCACGGACTCCTGGAGCAGGGGCAGATCATCGGCAAGATCATCCTCGACCCCACCCTGGACTAGTGTGGTGTCTCACAAATACGCTTACGAATCTGCGGGTCCTTTTGGCCGTCGGCTGCGTTGCTCTTCCTCGCGTGGTGCACGCCACTGCTCGTCCTGAGCCCTTCGACAAGCTCGGACAGGCTTCGCGCAGCGAAGTCGAAGGACGCCTTGCCGACGACCAAAATGCCCTCGCATCTTCATAACCGTATTTGTGAGACACCACACTAGGAACCGTAACGGCCGACAGCGCGGTGCGGATACGGGCGGGTTTGAAACCCGCCCCTACATCGGATGTCGGGTTCTGCCGTGGCCACGCTCCCGGTCCGAATTGCCACGAACACGGCGGGCTGTTAGTGTCCTGCATCCGCATGCTCCCGACGCCTTGCCGACGAGGCGGTATTTCACACGAGAGGAAACGAATCATGGCGCAACTGGTCACCATGCTCGGCATCACCCACAACCCGTTCATGCCCAAGCTGTTCAAGCAGGCGCAGCAACCGCCGGGGGCGGCCAAGGTGCAGGAACGCATCGCGATGATGCGGGCCAAGCTCGCGCGCCACAAGCCGGACGTGCTGATCACCATCGGCAACGACCATCTGCACCAGTTCTTCATGGACAACATGCCGGCATTCATGATCGGGAAGATGGACCGGTTTCACGGCACCTTCTACGATGAAGTGCGGGAGTTCGGCCTGCCGGAATGCGACCTCGCCGGCGACCTGGACCTCTGCAACCGGCTGCTGGAAGGCGCGTTTGAGCGCGGCGTGGACTTCGCCTACTCCAGCGAACTCACCGTCGACCACTCCATCGTGGTTCCCATGCTGTTCGTCCGGCCGGAGATGGACATCCCCATCGTCCCCATCCTGACCAACTGCATCGCGCCGCCGCTTCCCACCGCCCGCCGCTTCTACCAGGTGGGCCAGGCCATCCGCTCGGTCATCGACAGCCTCCCGGACGACAAGCGCATCGGCGTCCTGGTGAGCGGCCACCTGTCGCTGGAGGTGGGCGGACCCAGGCAGTTCGAGCGGCGCCTGACGGACCCGGATTTCGACGCCCGCGCCGTGGGATGGATCACCACCGGCGACATCGACGCGGCGGCGCGGGCACTGCACCTTCGAGAAGATGATCCCGTCCGGCAACATGACGCTGGGTTTTCTCAACTTCCTGATGGCCATGGGCGTGGCCAGTGGGGCGTCCCCCACCCATGCCGAGGGGCTCGATGTGGGATTTCCGGCGGTGCCGTTCTTCGCCTGGGAACGGGAGGAGGAAGGAGCAGGCCTGTGAGCAAGTATCTGGTGGACAAGTTCATGCACGTGGTGAACATGAACGAGAACGCGGAGGACGCCTACGTGGAGAACCCGCCGGGTTTCGTGGCCCAGTGGGAGAAGGCGGAACGGCTGGAGTTCACTCCGGAGGAGCGGCGCGCCCTGGAGCGACGCGACTACGGCAGCCTGTACGCCATGGGCGCGCACCCATTCCTGCTGTGGAGCTTCACCGAGGCCGTTTGGCGCAGGGAGATGGACCGGGAAGAGTTGGTGAGGGACTACAAGGCCAAAGCGGCCGCGGCAGGCTATCCGGAGTTCGAGACCTGATCACCCATTCCGAGCCAGAGAAGATTCAGTCCTTTTTCCCGAGCCCGGGTATCCACGACAGCCACGGGAACCGGCGCCGGTAGCGCCGCGCCAGTTCCCTGCCGCCGATGGCGAACCCGGTCCAGTACATCACTTGAGTGAAGACGTAAATACCGGCCGCCACCGCCACCCGGTTGTACTCCATGTCCACAAAGGGCACCAGCAGGATACCGGCGGTCACCACCCAGGAGCCAACCATCAACGCCACCGCGATCTTTTCGAGAAAGGTCATGTCGTCAAGCGTCACGTCGGCGCGCCGCGTAGGGTGCGCGGTCACCCGCCGGCAATCCTTCACTGCCTCGAGTTGAAAACGGATTGTGCCTCGGAGGCCCCGTGGCCGGGACCTCGCCCGCTGCGTTACCGGTGGCTGACGAGTCTTACATCCACCGCCGCCACTCCCCCGCCCGCCTCCTTGACGATCAACGGATTGACCTCCAGATCGCTCAGATGGGCTCGATGTGCGGCGAACAGATCCGAAATGCCGGTGATGGCCCGGACCAGCGCCTCGACGTCTCGCGGCTTCTGTCCGCGGACTCCCTCAAGGATCTTGTAGCCCTTGAGCTCCCGGAGCATGGCTTGCGCATCCTCGGTGGTGACCGGCAGGAGACGCAACGCCACGTCCTTCAGCACCTCCACGAAGATGCCGCCCAGACCCACCATGACGAAGGGGCCGTACTGCGGGTCGACCCGGGCTCCGAGGATGACCTCGGTGCCGCCGACCATTTCCTGCACCAGCAGCTTTGACCCGGCCGGTCCCTTGGCCAGCAGCTCCGCCCCGGCCTGCTCCACCCGGTCGGCCGAATCCAGCCCCAGCACCACGCCACCCACTTCGGTCTTGTGCACGACCTCCGGCGACTGGATCTTCAGCACCACCGGGAAGCCCATCTCCCCGGCCCTGGCGGCGGCGTCCGCCGGGGTGTCGGCCACGGCTTCCTGTGGCGTCGTCAGGCCGCAGGCGGCCAACTGCCGCTGCCAGACGGCCCCCTCCAGGTCTTCCGGCTTGCCGTCGGCCGCGGGGATTCCGGGAATGCCCATGCGCCGGCGATGCCCGTAGGCGCCTAGTCCATTGAGCGCCCGTAGCGTGGCCTTGATGCCCTGCAGATGCGGTATCTCCGAAGCCTCCTGGAAGACGCGGCTCTCCTCCATCAGGCTGTAGGTGGAACGGGCGTGGGCCACGACGGGTTTGTCGATGCTTCGAGAGATGTTCTTCAGGAGATCCGGGTTGCGCTTCTCGCCGAAGCGCGGAAGCTCGCCATGAATGGCCAGCAGGTCCACGCCGTCATCCTCCGCATGAATGCGCACGATCTCGGCGAAGGTGTTCTCGTTGCCGAAGCCGGCCACGCCGCACTCCAGCGGGTTCTCTACTACCAGGTCGTCGGGGATGAGGGGTCGCAGGGCGGCGTTGGACGCGTCGCTCAGGGTGGCCAGTTCGATGCCCACCTCCTCGATGTGGTCCAGCAGGATCCCTTTCATGCCGCCGGAGTTCACCACGATGGCCGCGCGCCCGCCCCGGGGCCGCCGGCCCGGCAGGAATGCCAGCGTCATCTCCGTGAGGTCCTCCAGGCTGTGGCAGCGCACCATGCCGTAGCGGTCGCACGCCGCCGAGAAGACCTCGTCGTCCCCTGCCAAAGAGCCGGTGTGCGAAATGGCCTGGCGCTTGCCCATCTCCGAACGGCCGAGCTTCACCACGATGATGGGCTTGTCCTTCTCCAGCGCCCGGGCAGCCGTTTCCAGGAACGTCTTCGGGCGCCGTATCCCCTCCACCATGAGCACGATGATTTTCGTGTCGGCATCGTCGATGAGAAAGGACATGTAGTCGACCACGTCCAGGCTCACCTCGTTGCCGCTGGAAATCGCGTAGCTGAAGCCGACGCCGCGCTCCGCCGCGCCCTTCATCCAGTTGCCCAGGGAGCCGCCGCTCTGGAACACGGCGCCCACGGGACCGGGCTTGAGCAGCGGCTGGCGCTGGGCGTAGGTCATCATGCGCTGTTCACCGACGCGGCGCCCATGCAGTTGGGGCCGCAGCAGACGATGCCGCTCTCCTCGCAGAACTCGGCCAGCTCCCGGCCGCGCTCGTGGCTCGTGGGATCGGTGCCCTCGCCAAAGCCCGCGCTGTAGATGGTCGCCGCCTTGGCACCCAACGGCACGGCCTGCTTGAGGGTGGAGATCACCGCCCGGGTGGGCACCAGCATCAGCAGGTGATCTGCCGGCTCCGGCAGCGCCTCCAGGCTCGGATAGCAGGGCGCGCCCCAGATCTCCTCGTAATTGGGGTTGATCAGGAAAACGTTGCCGGGAAACTCCGCTTCCTTCAGGCTGTGAAAGAGAAGGTTGGGCCAGTTGCCCTTGGGCGAGGCGCCGACAATGGCCAGGCTCTTGGCGTGCAGCAGGTTGGCTGCCGGGCGAATGGTGGTTCTTTCCGTCGCTTCGGTCATGTCGTTTCTTCTTTCGATGACGGTGCCAGCGGCGGGTGGGTCCGGCCGCGCGGGTCACGTCTTGGTTGGTTTGCGGAGTGTTCTTGGCGAGTGGTTTCTTTCTAGAACAGCTCGATGCCCAGGAAACGGAACAGCTCTCCCTCGTACCACGAAGCGTGGATGACCTGATCGAACACCACATACAGGAAGGCGGCCACGCACGCGGTAAGCACCAGGGACAGGAACCATCCTTCGTCCGATCCCACCTTCAGGTAGAGAAAGACGAACAACGGCAACGCGATGAGCTGCCCCAGAAGCCACGTGCCCACGAATATTCCGATCAGCCAAAAACAGATGATGAAGGTACGTTTCAGGGCCGCGCCACTGCGGAGGTTCACGTCGAGAAAAATGTCCGCCGCGCCCCCCGGACCGTCGGGAACCTTCTCCTCCCCGCCCCGGATCCCCGTCCACAGCGCAAGAATCACGGCGATGACGCAGCCCGCAACCCCGATGAGCGTGGGGAACAGGGAGCTCTTCAAGGGCCACTCCCTGGCCGTGACCACGCCGGCGGCGAACATGACCGCCAGGGCGAGTATGCAAAGGCTCTCGATGTAGTGCTCGCGGATCCGTCGTACCATCACAAACCTCGACAGGTTCTCGATTCGCCGATACTCATACGGTACATGTCATGCTTGGCGGCGCATCTGGGCTCGCGTCGCATAGTAGAGCGTCGCCAGGGTTATCAGGATCAGGACGATGGCGATGGGCCGCTCCCACAACCAGGACCAGCCGTAACGGCTGACGCTGATGTCGAGGTAACGCTCCATGATGGGACCCAGGACGATACCCAGAGCGATGGGCGGGCGCGGCCAACCCCAACGCTTCATGAGGTACCCGAGCCCTCCCAGGCTCAGCAACACGAGCCAGTCACCCAGTTCCTGGGTCGCCATCCAGGACCCCATGAAGACCAGCACCAGGATGATGGGGATCAACAGGCTGCCTCGGAGGGTAGTGACCTTGGCCAACTGGTTCGTGCAACCCATCAACAGGAAGGCGGTCAGGACGTTGGCGATGACCAGCGCCCAGATCACCGAGAACGTGACATCGAGCCGCGTGGTGAGAAGCTCGGGACCCGGGTAGATGCCGTGGATCAGGAAAGCGCCCAGAAGGATGGCCATGGTGGCGCTTCCGGGGATCCCGAAGGCGATGGTGGGGATCAGCGATCCGCCCTTCATGGCATTGTTGGCGGCCTCCGGCGCGATGACCCCGCGTATCTCGCCCTTGCCGAATTCCGCATTGGGATCCTTGTTGGACTGAACCGCATGGCCGTAGGCCACCCAGTCCACGATGCTGGCTCCCAGACCCGGGATGAAGCCGATGTAGGCGCCGATGACCGCGCACCGAAGCGCAAGCCACCAGTTTCGGAACGCGTCGCGCACCCCGTCCATGAGACCACTTCCCATCTCCGGCACCTCGGACAGGGAGCCTCGGCGCACCGCCAGCTCGATGACCTCGGGAAGCGAGAAAAGACCCAGCACGCATGGGACGATGGGAAGCCCGTCCAAAAGATACGGCGCGCCGAACCAGAAGCGCGGGATGCCGTCCTGCGGCGAATAGCCGATCATGGAAAGCTGCAAGGCCAGCAGGCCCACCAGAATGCCCTTGGCCGGGGCGTTGCCGCTCAAGGCACCTACCATGGCCATGCCCAGGACCCCCAGGAGGAAGAACTCCGGGGCGCCGAAAGAAAGCACCAGGGGGCTCAGGATCGGGATCGAACACACCAGCAGGATGGCGCCGATGACGCCGCCGAAGGCCGACACCGTGTAGGCGGCGCCGAACGCCCGGGCCGCCTCACCCTTCTTCGCCAAGGGATAACCGTCCATGATGGTGGCCTGCGAGCCGGCAGTGCCGGGAATTCCCAGTAGAACCGAAGAGATGGTGTCGGAAGTCGAGGTAATGGCGTACATACCCATGAGCAGGGCCATGGCCTCGTAGGGTTGGAGATCGAATGTGAAAGGCAGCAGGATGGCCATCCCGGAGAGTCCGGAGAGGCCCGGGACCATGCCGAAGAAGACACCCAGACCGATACCCAGCAGCAGTAAGCCGAAGGCCGGCCACGAGAGGATACCCTGAAGTCCCAGTTGGGCTGCTTCTAGCATTGTCGAGGAGGGGTCAGATCCCTTACTTTTGCGGAGATCCCGTTGCCGGCCCTTGAGGCTTGCGGCCGGCAACGGGACACGGTTGATGGCCTATCTCTTGGCCGCAAGCTTGCGCCCTTCTTCTATGTACTTCGCGCGGAACTGTCTCAACTCTTCGCCCGCCGTCTTCCACGGCACCATGGCTTTCTCGATGTCCTTGGGCGTGGTCAACATCCCCGGCTCGATACCGACGTTTTTCTTGTACTCGGCCCGAAACACGGGGTCGTTGTTGACGGCAACGAACGCCGAGCGCACCGCATCCACGGCCGCCTTGGGGACCCCCGGCGGCGCCAGAATCTGGCGGTAGCTGGTGTGGACCTGAAAGAGCTGCCACAGCGGCCCGGAAGGTTCCTTGCCCGAAAGCCGCTTGACGAACTCACGCGCGGGCACGCCCGGCGCGATGGCGGGTATTTGCTTTGTCACCGCCGTGCCAAAGGGGAATGGCCTTCCCCGTGTCCACAGCGATGGGTTTCACCCGGGGAATGTAGAACGGCGTGCTCCCGTCGATGTAGTCGAGCTCCTTGCGGAGGAACGCCGCCAGCAGGTCCGACGACCCCTGATATCCGGTGACGTACTTGAACTTCACCCCTGCCAGTTCGAACAAGGTGCGGAACTTGAGGTCCTTGGCGCCGTCGGCGCGGAATCCGCCCACGTTGAAGGTCTTGGCCTTCTTGAGGTCTTCCAGCTTGTTGAGCGGCGGGTCAAGGTCCTTCCTCGCCACTCCGACGCTGTACACGGGCGTGAACATGACCGGAATGATCTCCTCCATGTTTGCCCGGAGACCCGCCTTCTTGGGGTCGCCCACGAACCATTCCGTGTAGCGGCCGCTGGCGGTCTGGCAACCCATCACGGTACCGTTTCGGCGCGCACGCTCGTAAATCCAATTCATGGCCAGGTTGCCGCCGCCGCCCGCACGGTTCTGGATGACGATGGTGGGGTTGCCCTTCAGGAAACTTTTTCAGATGACGGGCGTAGATCCGGCACTCGATGTCCGTGGGTCCGCCCGCCGAATAGTCGACATGAGCTTCAGCGTCTTCCCCTGATAAAAGGGCTTTTCCGCGGCGGACGCCTGGGCTCCGAACAAGAGCGCGAACACGAAAACGGCACAAGTGGAAAGCACGGCTTTGTGTACTATGGACTTCATCGCTTGCTCCCTCCTTGGGTCAGTGATTGCCGTCGTCCGGCTTTTGGGGCATCGTTCCGGGACCATCCGGACCGATGCCCCGCCACATGACTGTCATCCTTGCCGTCGTACCGGCTAGGAAGCCTTGTTGACCCGGGCCATGGGACCCAGACCGGGCTTGTAGGTCTTGTCGTCGATGAACTGCTTGATTCCCTGGTCGTAGCCGTCCTCCCGGTCCTGCAACTTGATCTGGGCGCCCTTGGCCGCCAGATAGTCCTCGGCCTGGGAGTAGTCCATGTTGCGCACCAGCTTGTAGGCCTGCTTGGTGGCCCGCAGCGCCCAGGGATTCTTCTCCATGAGCTTCTTGGCCAGCTTCACGGTTTCCGCACGGAGCTGGTCCGCCGGCACCGCATAGTTGACGAGCCTCATCTCCGACGCCTTCTTCCCGTCGAACGGTTCGCCGGTCATGGCATGGTACAGACCGTCGCGCAGGCTCATCATGTCGGTGACCACCCTGCTCACGAGACCGCCGGGCAGGATGCCCCAGTTGACTTCGGACAGCCCGAAGAGCGCGTCCTCGGAGGCAATGGCGAAGTCACAGGCCACCAGCGGAGTGAAGGCGCCGCCGAAGCAAAAGCCGTTCACCATGGCGATGGTGGGCTTGGGGAAGGTGAAGAGCTTCCGCCAGCGCCACTCCTGGCTGCACCAGCTCGCCTGCCTGCGAAGCGCCTGATTCTTGTCGCCCTCGCGGAAATACTCCTTGAGATCCTGACCGGCGCACCAGCTACTACCGGCGCCGGTAATGATCATGACCTGGGTTTCCGGGTCCCCCTCGCATTCCGTCACCGCGTCATACATGTCGAAGTGGAGTTGCGGACTCATGGCGTCCGCTTTTCCGGACGGTTGAGGATGACCCAGGTGATGCCGTCCTCTCTTCTCCACCAATACTGTCTTGTACTCTTTCGTTGTCATTAAAACGGTACCTCTCCTTGAAACGTTCACATGATTGATAATCCTGCCAACTCTATGCAGTCGGGTTCCCGGAGTCAAGGCACAATCGCCTAGGAATCCTTGTCGACCCGGGCCATGGGACCAGACCGGGCTTGTAGGTCTTGTCGTCGATGAACTGCTTGATTCCCTGGTCGTAGCCACCCTCCCGATCCTGCAGCTTGATCTGGGCGGCCTTGGCCGCCAGATAGTCCTCGGCCTGGGAGTAGTCCATGTTGCGCACCAGCTTGTAGGCCTGCTTGGTGGCCCGCAGCGCCCAGGGGTTCTTCTCCATGAGCTTCTTGGCCAGCTTCACGGTTTCCGCCCGGAGCTGATCCCCGGGCACCGCATAGTTGACCAGCCTCATCTCCGCCGCCTTCTTGCCGTCGAACGGATCGCCGGTCATGGCATGGTACAGGCCGTCCCGCAGAGTCATCACGTCGGTGACCACCCTGCTCACGAGACCGCCGGGCAGGATGCCCCAGTTGACTTCGGACAGCCCGAAGAGCGCGTCCTCGGAGGCAATGGCGAAGTCACAGGCCACCAGCGGAGTGAAGGCGCCGCCGAAGCAAAAGCCGTTCACCATGGCGATGGTGGGCTTGGGGAAGGTGAAGAGCTTCCGCCAGCGCCACTCCTGGCTGGCCCAACCCACCTTCCGCTGAAACTCGGGGTTCTGGTCGCCCTCGCGGAAGAATTCCTTGAGATCCATGCCGGCGCACCAACTGCTGCCCGCTCCGGTGATGACCATCACCTGGGTTTCCGGGTCTCCCTCGGCTTCCGTCACCGCGTCGTACATGTCGAAGTGGAGCTGCGGGCTCATGGCGTTCCGCTTTTCCGGACGGTTGAAAATGACCCAGGTGATGCCGTCCTCTTTCTCCACCAATACTGTCTTGTATTCTTTGGTTGCCATTGACGTGTGCCTCCTTGAATCGCTTACCTGATCGCCAATCCTGCCGGCTCCAGGGTTCCTTACCCTTTCAGATGCCTGCCCAGGAACGCCAGGGTCTTGGGCCAGACGTCCTTGGCCGACGCCTCGTGATAGCTCGGGCGGTCGTCGCAGAAGAACGCGTGGCCCGCCTCCTCGTAGAGGTGCCACTCGTAGTCCACGCTGTTGGCCTTCAGCGTTCCCTCGATGGTGTCCCGGGCCTCCTGCGGTATGCCCTGGTCCTGCCCGCCCCACACGCACTGCATCGGTATCTTGATGTTGTTTCCCTGGGTCACCGGCTCCACCGGACTCTTCTCACCCCGCTGACCGCCGGCGATCTGGCCGCCGTAGTACAGGCTGCTTGCCGCGAGACCCGGACAGTTGCACGCCGCCATCCAGGACACCCTTCCGCCGAAGCAATAGCCGATGATGCCCACCCGGTCGGGGTCCACGTCCGCCCGCCCCTTGGCGTACGCAATGGCGCGGTTCAGGTCTTCCACCACCTTGGTGTCGTAGAGCGTGCCGCGGGCGGCGAAAGCGCCGTCGCGGTCGGTGTTGGGAATGATCCGCTCGTCCAGCCGATAGTAGAGATCCGGGGAAATGGCCACGTAGCCCTCGTTGGCGAAACGTTCGGTGACGTCCTTCATGTGGGCGTTCACGCCGAAGATCTCCATGATCACGAGCAGCGCGGGTTTCTTGCCGTCGCCGTCCGGGGCGGCCACGTAGAGGCCCATGGACTTGCCGTCTTCGGCGGCGATATCCACCGTAGCGGTATTGATGCTCATCAAATTCCTCCTGTTTGGTGTTTGTCGGTGAGTGTTCTCATTGACACGGGGCTCGCGAAGCTGTCAAGGACACCAGGTTTTGTTCCCGTTCGGCGATATGCTACCCTGCCGATTCAGGCAGCGGCACGCCGCTGGCCCGTACCTGCCGACACACGGAATCGACATCATGCAAATCTGCTGTCTAGACCTGGAGGGCGTCCTCCTGCCGGAAATCTGGATCGCGGTCGCCGAACATTTCCACAACGACGACCTCAGGCTGACCACACGGGACATCTCCGACTACGACCAACTCATGCAGCACCGGTTGAAGGTCCTCAGGAAGAACCGGATCCGGCTGGCCGACATCCAGGGCGTCATCGCCGGCATGCAGCCGCTCCCCGGCGCCAAGGCCTTCCTGGACGACCTCCGTGCACATTTCCCGGTGGTGGTGCTGCTGTCGGATACCTACTACGAGTTCGCCATGCCGCTGATCCGAAAGCTCGGGAACCCGACGCTGCTGTGCAACTGGCTGACGGTAAGCCGAACGGGGTACATCTCGGGCTACGTGCTGCGCCAGCCGGACGGCAAGCGCAAGGCCGTGAAGGCGTTCAAGGGAATCGGTTTCGGAGTGGTGGCGGCGGGAGACTCCTACAACGACCTGAGCATGCTGCGCACCGCCGACCGGGGAGTGCTGTTCAATCCACCGGACGCCATCGTCAAGCGCTATCCCGCCTTTCCGGTGGCACGGGACTACCCGACGCTGGGTCGGTTGCTGAAACAATAATGTGCACCGTCGTCAATGGCGTCCTTCGACTTCGCTCCGCTCACGCTCCGCTACGCTCAGGACGAACGGTGGTGGAACCGTTTTGCACCGTTCGTCCTGAGCGTAGCGGAGCGTGAGCGGAGCGAAGTCGAAGGGCCGCAGAAAACCACCAAGGAGAATTTCCATGCTCGACGTGCTGATTTCCAATGCCGAGATTATCAACGCCAACGGCCGCTACAAAGGCTCCGTCGGCATCCAGGACGGCACCATCGCCGGAATCTATCAGCCCGGCGCCGCGCCCGAGGCCGCCGAAGTGGTGGACGCGTCGAATCTCGCACTGATCCCCGGCGCGGTGGACATGCATTCGCACCACCGCGAGGGCGGCGAGCCCGGCGGATACGCCTACAAGGAGAACATCCACACGGCCACCATGCAGTGCGCGGCAGGCGGTGTCACCACCTCCGTGGCCATGCCCAACGTGGTCCCGCCGCCCAACACGGTGCCGCGCCTCGAGCAGTTGTTCGGGGTCTATGAGCGGGAGTCCATCATCGACTACAACGTCAACCCGGCCGGAACCATCCCCGACGAGATCCCCAAGCTGGCGGAGAAGGGCATCGCCGCGTTCAAGGTGTTCATGGTGGTGGACACGGGCCGGGACTACCCACACATGCCGGGCATCGGCGTCCACGATCACGGCAAGCTCATGGAGATCATGGAGGCGTGCGCCGCGGCCAACGTGCCGCTGATGGTGCACCCCCATGACCAGGCGCTCATGGACCACATCGAGAAAAGTTCTGGGACCGCGGGGAGCGCGACTGCCTGGCCTACGCCAAGGCCTACGCCGCCAATGACGGGTGTCATCTGGGAAACCGCCATCCAGCTCCTCATCCGCCTGCAAGCCGCCACCGGCGTCCACCTCCACCTGCTCCACATCCAGACCGAGGGCAGCGTCGAGATGATCCGCCGGGCCAAGGCCAACGGGCAACGGGTGAGCGCGGAAATCAACCCGTGGGCGCTGTTCCTGGGACCGGACTGGAGCGAGATCGAGCGGCTCGGCTCCTATGCCCTTTCCTACTGGGTGCCGGAAGTGAACTCACCCGCCCTGTGGGGCGGCCTGGGCGACGGCACCATCGACATCGTCGCCACCGACCACGCCCCGCACACGCGCGAAGAAAAGGAGATCGGCTGGGAGGACGGCTGGAAGGCCCACACCGGGACGCCGTCGACACAGTATTACCTGAGCCTTCTGTTCGATGCCGCATCCAAGGGCAAGATCTCCCAGGAGCGCGTGGTGGAAGCCACCTCCACCGGACCCGCGCGGATCTTCGGGGTGCAGAACAAGGGCCGCATCGAGGTAGGCTACGACGCCGACTTGGTGCTGGTGGACCTGAACGCCGAGAAGGAAATCCGCGACGAGGACGTTCTCAGCCTCATCGGCTGGACGCCCTACGCCGGCCGCAAGGTGCGGGGCGTTCCGGTGCGCACCTTCGTGCGCGGGACCACCGTGTACCGGGACGGCAAGGTGGTGGGGACAGAAGGGCCACGGCCGTCAGGCCCGGGCCAAATACCCCGGCTAGGAGCCTGCGCCGCGGGAGCCCGACATCCGATGTAGGGGCGGTTTCAAACCCGCCCGTGCCCGCACGGCGTTGCCGGCCGATAGAGGCCCGGCGTCCTTCGACTCCGCTACGCTACGCCTGTCCTGAGCCCTTCGACGAGCTCAGGACAGGCCTGTCGAAGGGCTCAGGACGAACGGTCGATGCCGGTCACGCGATGAACACCCGGCCGCCGTCCACGTTGATCACCTGTCCGCTGATCATGTCGCTGTCGTCCGACGCCAGAAAGGCGACAACCCCGTCGAGATCCTGGGGATACAGATGGCGCTCGATACAGCGTTGGCGCAGCATGTGCTCCGACGCTGTCTCCGGCGCCTCGCGGACTTCCGAGGTGTCGACGCCCCCGGGCGCGATGGCGTTCACGTTGATGTTGAAGGGACCGAGATCCGCTGCCAGCGCGCGGGTCAGACCGATGACGCCCATCTTGGACGACACGTACTGATGGCTCAGGGTGCGGCCGTGCAGCGCTACGCCGGAGCTGATGTTGATGATCTTCCCCTTGCTCGACCGTTTCATGTAGGGAACCACCGCCCGGGCGGCCAGAAACGTCCCCGTGAGATTCACCGCGATGATCCGATGCCAGTCGGCCACGTCGGTCTCCTCGATGGGAACCCGTGGCGTGTTGCGCACGATGCCGGCGTTGTTCACCAGGATGTCGATGCTGCCGAAGTGGTCGAAGGCCTTTTTCGCTCCGTCCAGGGTCTGCTCCTCCGAGGTCACGTCCATCTCCACCGCCAGCGCCTTGCGCCCCTCCGCCGCCACCAGCCGGGCGGTCCCCTGGACGCCCGCGAAGTTCACGTCCGCGGCGCAGACGTGGGCGCCTTCCGCGGCCAGCCGCACCGCGTAGACCCGACCCAGACCCGTGGCCGCGCCGGTAACCAGGGCAACGCGATTCTCAAGTCTCATGGCTCTGCTCCCTCTGCGCCGTTTCCCGGCTGTACAGGTCCCGAACCACCACCGGCCGCAAGCCGCCCGGTGAGCGGGCCGTCCACTCGGCGGCGTTCACATGCCGCCGTTCCAGCTCGATCAGGAATTTCTTGATGTCGAGGCCGCCGGCGTAGCCCGTCAACCTCCCGTCTCCGCCAATCACCCGATGACAGGGAAACGACGATGGGGATCGGGTTGCGCCCGTTGGCCGCCCCCACGGCGCGGACCGCCCGTGGCTGTCCCATGGCCCGCGCCTGCTCGCCGTAGGAGCAGGTGGCGCCGTAGGGTATGTCCTGAAGCGCCTGCCACACGCGCGCAACTGAAACGCCGTGCCCGAAGGAGCCAGCGGCAGGTCGAACAGCCGCCGGCGCCCCGCGAAATACTCGCCGAGTTGCTCTCTCGCATCCGCCACCACCGCTCCGCCCCGCTGCCAGCCGTCCGCTACCTTGCCGGGATACCGTCCCTCCCGGAAACTGATCATCTGAGCGTGGTCTCGTCCGCCACGATCAGCAACTCGCCCACCGGGCTTTCCATCCAATCGTAGTTCATTCGCTCCCCCTGGGCTGTCGATGTCGCGAGCGCGGCCCGGACCGTTGACCCTTATGGGCTTGTTCCATTCGAGCCCAAGTCATATCATGGCCTTACCATCGTATGGAGGGATAGGCTATGAGAAATCAAATCTCAATCGCCGTCATCAGCATCCTCACCCTGCTGCTGGTTCCGGTCGGGGCGCCGGCCATCCAGCCGTTTACCGTAGCGGCCCTCAGCAACTGGAAAGACGTACGGACCGCAGACTTCACGGGCACATGGGTTAACACCCGTGGCGAAAAAATCGTCATCGGTCCGTGTCACGACGGAATGCAGCGCGGCCGGACCGCGGGTGCGGAGGTCCTGTCGATTTCAGGGACGAGCACCCGATTCAAGACGATCTACGCGATCAGTAGCACGACAACGGGAGCGACCTATCATGGCTACCGAGGGTTCGTCCGCTCGGCAGGAGGCGGGGAATTGACGTTCCATCGTAATACTTGGTGGATGCCCTTCGGTCTCGAGCGTTGGCTCCGCTACGGAATAGTGACGCTAAAACCCGTTCATTAGTTCGCCTGCCCACCATGACTTGACTAAATTATATGACTTGACCTCCGGGTCATATCGTTATATTTAGACAAGCATGAGGGTGCCATCCCAGCCGCAGGCAATTCGCCAAATCTCCGAACGTCTCGCGGGGCTGGTCGATCCCGACTGCCGCGCGCTCCATCTCAAGGAAAGCCTACAAGTGGACGCAGTGTTGCGCGCCGGGCGCTTCGTCTTTGTTGTCGAGTGGAAGAGCGTCGGCTCTGCTGCATCGACTTACTCCATCATAAGGCATGTCCGCCAACATGCCGAAGAGTTCAGCGAGCCGGAGAGGCCGATCGAGAGATAGTCCCCCTGGTAGCCGTGCCTTTCATGGGCAACATCGGTCGCGAGCGTTGCGCGGAATACGGAGTCTCATGGCTGGATTTGTCCGGCAATGCACGGATCTTCGCGCCGGGGCTCCGAATCCTTGTCGAGGGCAAGCCCAACCAGTACAAGCGGCCAGGACGCCCTTCCACCCCTTTCGCTCCGAGGAGCTCTCGCATTGCGCGATGGTTGCTCATGCACCCGACCAAGCCCCTTACCCAGCGTGAGCTCGCCCGAGCGACCGGCACGGACGAAGGCTACACAAGCCGGGTGGTGGGCAAGCTTGAGGATGAAGGACTAATCCTGCGGAACGATACCGGGGCCATCCGTCCCCGCGACCCCGACCTCCTGCTCGACGCCTGGTTGGAGGCGTACGATTTCAACAAGCATGACGTGCTGCGTGGCCACGTTGCCGCGCGTGCCGGGGACGTACTACTGCAGCAACTGTGTGGCGGATTAAACCAGGCATCCATTCCGCATGCGTTCACCGGCCTCGCCGCGGCCTGGAGCTTCGGTCACTTCGCTGGATTCAGGACTACAAGCGTATTTCTTCGGCAGGAACCCTCATCCAACCTGCTCGCGACGCTGTCGTTTCGAGAGGACGATCGTGGCGCCAACGTCTGGCTCATCGTCCCTAACGATGAAGGAGTGTTTCACGGTGCATCGACGCGGAATGGAATTCACTGCGTCCACCCGGTGCAAACGTATCTCGACCTCCACGCCCATCCCGAACGGGCCAAAGATGTGGCTCGTGAGCTTCGGAGCGAACATCTAAGCTGGAGGACCCGTGACTAACAAACCGACCACTGCCGATGGCTACGACCCGCGGTACACCGAGTTGGTGCGCGCGACTTGCCTGTACATTGCCACCAAGCTAGGCGACATCATGGATGAGTTGGTCGTAGTCGGCGGCTTGGTCCCGTCACTGCTCATCAACCAGGAGGAACTACCGGCTGGGGCCCACCCACACGTGGGGACCCTGGATCTCGACGTGGGACTCACCCTCAAGCTGCTTGATGACGGTCGCTACTCTACCTTGACGGAGCGGCTGCGTAGCGCCGGGTTTGAACCGGACATCAGCGGTCTGGGCAACCCAAGCCGACAACGCTGGAAGATCGATTGCGGGGAGAAGATCACGATTGATTTTCTGATCCCGCCGAGCCTTCCTGGCGACCGAGGCGGAGACCTACGCGATATCGAACCGGATTTCGCCGCCTTCATCGCACCCGGACTACAACTCGCCTTCCAGAATCGTAAGCAGGTCCATCTCACGGGCCGGACTATACGTGGAGAACAGGCCAAGAGACCGGTGTGGATATGCGGGCCAGGCGCCTACGTAGTGCTCAAGGCCCTCGCATTCGGGGATCGTGGAGAGAACAAAGATGCGTATGATCTATACTACGTCATTCGCAACTATGGGAGAACCGTCGATGATGTTGGTTCTCCCTTGAGGTCATTACTGCGCTGTGCTTCGGCCAAGAAGGCCATCGGGATTTTGGAACAAGACTTCGGAGAGCACGACGGTGTCGGGCCACGTCGGGTGGCCGAGTTCCTCTTAAAACGTCCCGACGACGAGATCCAAGCCGATGTCGTGGGTTTCGTAAAGGCAACTTCTCGAACATTGTCACTGATCGGGAAAAGTGCATGCAGCTAGCAACGGCGACTATTATTACCCTCAAAGCCAGCAACAAATTGACGCTTCGGGGACAGACCCCCCGCACCCGTCAATCTTCGACCGCCACCATCCAGCCGTGCCGGTCCGGCAGGCGGCCGCGCTGGATGTCCGACAGCCGGTCGTACAGGCGCTGTGACAGCGGACCCACCTCGCCGTCCTGGACACGGACGCGCTCGCCCTTGTAGGCCAGCTCACCCACCGGGGAGATGACCGCCGCGGTGCCGGTGCCGAACGCTTCGCGCAGGGTCCCGTTCCGCGCCGCGGCCATGACTTCCGCAATGGCCACCGGCCGCTCGGCGACCTGCACGCCCTCGTCCCTGGCAAGCTGCAGCACCGAGTCGCGGGTCACGCCTTCCAGCAGGGTCCCGGTAAGCGGCGGAGTCACCAGCTCGTCTCCGATCACGAACGCGATGTTCATCGAGCCGACTTCCTCGATGTACTCCTGGTTGATGCCGTCCAGCCACAGGACCTGGGCAAAGCCGTCCTTTTGGGCTTCTTCTCCGGCCAGCAGGCTGCCGGCATAGTTCCCGGCCGTCTTGGCCGCGCCGGTGCCGCCCCGTACCGACCGGACGTAACGGTCCTCCACGCGAATCCGCAGCGGCTTGAAGCCTTCGGCATAGTAGGCGGCCACCGGCGAGAGAATGATGAAGAACACGTAGGTGCGAGACGGCCGCACGTGCAGGTCGGCATCGCTCGCGAACGCCACCGGACGGATGTACAACGAGGTCCCCGGCGCCCGCGGCACCCAGTCTCGGTCCGTGGCCACAAGCTGCTTGAGAGCCGCCAGAAACAGCTCCGGGTCGATGGACGGCATGCACAGCCGCGCCGCCGAGCGATTGAATCGGGCGATGTTCCGGTCTGGCCGGAACAGCCGGACGGTGTCATCCTGTCCGCGGTAGGCCTTGAGCCCTTCGAAAACGCTCTGCGCGTAGTGCAGCGCCACGGTGGCCGGTTCCAGCGCCAGCGGGCCGTAGGGTACGATGCGCGGGTTGGACCAACCCGCGTCCACCGCCCCGTCCATGAGGAACATGTGATCGGTGAACACTTGACCGAAGCCGAGTTGGGCGTCCTCCGGCCTGGGCTTTTGCCGTTGAACGCGTGTAACGGGAATTTCGATACGCATCGTTGTCAACCCCTCTTTGTGCCGCCAAGTGAATCCTGGTGTCCTGTCCCGCAAATACTTTGGCGAAGATACGCAGGATTTCTTGTCGGCGGCAGGCGCAACGACGAGCGGTGGCCAACACCACGCGAAGAGGAGCAACGCAGCCGACGGCAAGAAGGACCGGCAGATTCGTCAAAGTATTTGCGGGACAGGACACTGAGGACTTTCCGGCTCTTGAACCAGCCCCTCGAATCGTGATTGACAGTGTAACATTTCCCCAACATAATCGGTGCGGGGTGGACTCTCGGTTGCCCCAGCACGATCACCAGCCCGCAACTGCAAGCTCGCGAAGAACTTGAACCAGGAGGAACAAAGACCATGGTTATCACGAGAAAGACTTTCGGCATCCTGACAGCGGTCCTGGCACTGGCCGTGGCGGCAGCACCGTTCACCGCCGGCGCGGTCGAGGACAAGCTCGTTATCGTAACATCCTACCCGCCGGACACCACCACCACCGTCAAGGCCGCCTTCGAGAAGAAGCACCCCGGGGTCAAGGTCGAGATGCTGCGGAAGGGTACGTCGTCCGGCATCAAGTATCTGCAGAGACCGCCGGGAACAACCGGTCCGACATGTTCTGGGCCTCCGCGCCCGACGCCTTCGAGGTGCTCAAGGGGGACGGCCTGCTGCAGAAGTACGAGGTCAAGGTCAAGGGCATTCCCGAGAAGGTGGGCGCCTTCCCGGTCAACGACCCCGAGGGCTATTACAAGGGCTTTGCCGCGTCGGGCTACGGCATCATGTGGAACACCCGCTACATCAAGGCCAAGAAGCTGCCGGTGCCGAAGACCTGGGCCGATCTGGCCAAGCCCGTCTACCATGGCCACGTAGGCATGAGCGCGCCGTCGCGCTCCGGCACCACCCACCTGACCGTCGAGACCCTGCTTCAGGGCAAGGGCTGGGCCGAGGGCTGGGCCGAGTGGAAGGCCATCGCGGGCAACTTCAAGACCGTCACCGAGCGCAGCTTCGGCGTACCGACGGCGTCAACTCGGGCCAGTTCGGCTTCGGCGTCGTGATCGACTTCTTTGGGCTGTCGTCCCAGGCTTCGGGTTTTCCGGTGCAGTTCCTCTACCCGCCGGTGACGACCCTGGTGCCGGCGAACATCGCCATCGTCAAGAACGCGCTGCACCCGCAAGCGGCGGCCGCCTTCATCGAGTTTCTCCTGTCAACCGAGGGGCCAGGAGGTGCTGCTCGACCCGAAGATCCGGCGCCTGCCCGTAAACCCCGCGACCTACGCCAAGGCGCCCGCCGACTTCCCCAACCCGTTCAAGGACAAGTCCATCGGCGCGGCGGTCAAGTTTGACCTGGAGCTCTCGAAGAACCGCTACAACGTGATCAACTCGCTGTTCGACGTGATGGTCACCTACCGGCTCGACGACCTGCGCGCGGCCACCAAGGCGATCCAGGACGCCGAGGCGAAGATGCCGACGCAATCGCACGGCCGCTGCACGAGCTCATCGACGAAGCGCAGAATAGACAACCCAAGTCGCTGTGTGTCGCCGAGTGCCCATCGGACGCCGCTCAGCGCGCGGCCGCAGAAGCTGTGTCAACAACATCGTCAAGAAGTCGTCAAGAAGGCGACCACCAAGGTGACCGGCCGCCAGGCCGAGGTCGAGCAGGGTTGGGACGCCCAGGTCAAGGCGAACTACGCCAAGGCCAGGACCTTGGCCGAGAAGGCGGCGTCCATGCTCTAACCGTCATGCGGGCGTAGGCCCGGCGGTGGAGTCAGGGGTGGAATAACGTCCGTGTACGCGGCAATGCGTGGCAGTGAGTGGGCCGCGGCGGTAGTGTTAGTGCGTCGGCCTGTTCCTGTTCGTGTTCCTGGTGGTCCCGGTGGTCAACGTGATCTACGTTGCGTTCCAGGACCCCAACACGGGCGCGCTGACCCTGATCAACTTCGTCGACTTCTTCCGCACCAGCCTGTTCCGGGACTCCTCCGTCAACTCGCTCTACGTGGCGGTGATGGCGGTGGTCATGTCGTCGTGCTTCGCCCTGCCGCTGGCCTATTTCACCACCCGCTTCAACTTCAGGGGCGCCATGCTGATTCAGACCCTCGGCGTGGTCCCGCTGATCATGCCGCCTTTCGTCGGCGCGGTGGCGATGCTGTTGCTGCTCGGCGAGAACGGCTCCGTCAACCTGCTGCTGGACGAGTGGTTCGGCTTCACCATCCCGTTCATGGAGGGGCTGAACGGTGTGATCCTGGTGGAAAGCATCCACTACTTCCCGTTCATCCTCATCAATCTCTCGGCCGCGCTCAACAACATCGACCGGTCCATGGAAGAGTCGGCGCAGAACCTGGGCGCCAGCGGCATGCGCCTGTTCCGCCGCATCGTGTTCCCGCTGGCCATGCCCGGATACGTGGCCGGCGCGTCGCTGGTGTTCCTCAAGGTGTTCGACGACATCGGCACGCCGCTGCTGCTGAACGTCAACACCATGTTGGCGCCTCAGGCCTACCTGCGCATCTCCTCCATCGGCATTTCCGACCCCATGGGCTACGTGATCTCGGTGATCCTGGTGGTATTCTCCCTGCTGGCGCTGTGGACCGCGTTTCTGGCGTTGCGCGTCAAGGACTGTACGACCACCGGGTGCAGATGCGCGGCGGCGGTTGATGTATAAACGACGACCTCCGGCCGTGGGAGAACGCCGCCTGCCACGGCGTCGTCATCCTCATCCTGCGCTTGCTCGTGTGCTGCCGATCCGCCTTCGCTCGCTCTCCTCCTGTCCTTCAGCACCGTTGTGGTCGTTCAGGCCCGTAAACCAAATTTTCAGCCCACGCATTCGCTACACCGTCGCGCACTATCTGCGGGTGCTGTCGAGCTCGTTCCAGTTCGTCACCAACACGCTTCTCTACGCCGGCCTCGCCGCGGCCTCGACGTTGGGTCTTCCTTCGGCAGCACCAGCCATTCCTATGTGCGTCTGGCGCACCCGGCTCATCGGCCGGCAATGGCTGGACTACGCCGCCATGGGGGCGGTGGCCATTCCCGGCGTGGTGCTGGGCATCGGCTCTTATCAAAATAATCTCCTCATAACATCATCTGCGCACCTTCTACGGTTCAGTCAACGTATGCCATCATCGACAAGCCCCTGGCGTCCTGGTGGGTGATCATCGTCGTTGCCCTGGCCATCCGGCGGCTGCCCTACGCGCTGCGCGCCTGCACCGCCGCGCTGCAGCAGATCAGCGTCATGCTCGAAGAGGCCGCCGAGAACCTGGGCGCCACCAAGGGCCGCACGGTCCGCCGCATCGTCGTGCCGCTGATGTCCGGCGGCATCGTCGCCGGCTTCGTCACCAGCTTCGCCACCGCATCGGTGGAGCTGTCCACGACCATCATGCTGGTATGCCCCAGGAATCGGACGCGCCACTCGCCTTCGGCATCTACGAGTTCATGCAGTCGGCGGCCGGGCGCGGTCCCGGCGCGGCCCTCGGGATCATCGCCGTGGTCATCGTCGGGATCACCACCTACGTCTCGCACCGTATCATCCGGCGCAAGGAACCCAGCGAACGCCCGGTGTGACGGTTGTCGCGGGAGTGTGAGCATGGCATCGGAAAATGCCGACAGCGTCGTCATCGAGGGACTCAGCCTGGCCTACGATACCACCGACGTCTTGAAGGGTATCGACCTGCGCATCGAACCGGGGGAGCTGTTCACCTTCCTGGGGCCGTCGGGATCGGGCAAGTCGACGCTGTTGCGCTGCGTTGCCGGCTTCGGCCCGACGCCCCGCGGGCGCATTCTGATCGGCGAACACGAGGTGACGCATCTGCCGCCGTGGCGGCGAAACGTCGGCATGGTCTTTCAGTCGTACGCGCTGTGGCCCCACATGACCGTGTACCGGAACGTCGCCTTCGGGCTCGAGGAACGCAGGGTGCCGTCGGCCGAGATCCCCAGACGGGTGGAGGCCGCGTTGGACATGGTGGGACTCTGGGAGTTGGCGGACCGGCGGCCCTCACAGCTTTCCGGCGGCCAGCAGCAACGAGTGGCCCTTGCCCGCACCATCATCGTCGAGCCCCGGGTCCTGCTGCTGGACGAGCCGCTGTCCAATCTGGACGCCAACCTGCGCGTTCAAATGCGGCGTGAGATTCTCGAGCTGCAGCGGAAGCTGAAGCTGACCACCATCTTCGTGACTCACGACCAGGAGGAAGCCAACACCATCTCGGATCGGATCGCCGTGCTCGACGAGGGCATTCTGCAGCAGGTGGGATCGCCCATGGACCTTTACGACAGCCCCGTCAATCGTTTCGTTGCCGACTTCCTCGGCACCGCCAACCTCCTGGATGGAGGTGTGGAGGTCACGGGCGAAGGCGCACGCTTCGTCGCCGCCGGCGGCCTGATCTTGCCGCTGGGCGGGGAGGGTCATGCGCCCGGAGACGGCCGGATCGCGATGTTCCGTCCCCAGGACGCCACCATCTCCGCGAGCGGACCCTGCCATGGCCGCAACGGCCTTTCCCGGCCGTGTCGGACATCGCGAGTTCCTCGGCAACCTCATCCGATATACCGTCGCGGTCGACGAAGACACGTCCCTGCTGGTGGACGACACGCACCAGCCCGGCCGCCGGGCCTTCTCCGTCGGCGACAAGGTGACCGTCAACGTCGACATGGAACACGTGCAGATACTGAGCGGCTAAGGGGGCGCGACTACGTGCGGACCCGGGCGGGTTTGAAACCCGCCCCTACACGCCGGTTCTCGCGGGGCGCAGGCTTCTATCCCTTTGCGGCCGCCGCCTTCCGCGCCTCCAGCTCCGCGGCCTCCGCCGCGGTCCTGCCCCAGAGGGGCGGGTCCTTGAGGTACTGTTCCTCTTCCGGGGTGTTCGGGCGTCCCATGACCGCGTTGCGATGGGGGAAACGGCCGAAGCGCTTGACGGCGCCGTGGTGCCCGACGGCGGCCCGCATGGAATCCTCGTTGCCGAGGCTCCGGTAGAGACACCAGCGCCCGCTCCTGGTCGGCCAGCAACTCGCTGTGCTCGAACGGCAGGTAGATGAAGGTCCGCGGCCAGCGGGCATAGCCCCGGTCGTACCCGGCCTCCAGGGCATACTCGGCGACCTCCCGGGCCTTGGCATCGGTGGCAAAGGCCCGGGGAGTGCCGCGATAGATGTTTCGCGGGAACTGGTCCAGGGCCATGATCAGGGTCAGACAGTCTTCCGGCGTCTGCTTGAAGTGGTCGAGCTCGCCGGCGGCCGCCCGCTCATGGACCCTCGGTGTAGTGATCGACAAGATGCCGGTCGAACTCCGGAGTCGCCCGAAACCACACTGGCGCTTCTCCATCTCCACGCTCAGGTCCAAGGTCTCGAACCAGAAAGTCAGAATTTCTTTCGATAGAGGATCCACGCTCCCTCCGTTCATCCGGTTGTCACGAGCGACTTGGAGACAACCATGGTTCAATGGCTGGAGTCTTGACTCGCGGAAGACTCCCGAAACCCGGCCGAAGAAAATTCCCTGCGGCCGAAGAAAATTCGCTGCAAGTCTTGACCAGGAAAGACCCAATTGCAACACTGCCCGAGGCTGGTCGAAGGACGGGTCAAATCGGTTCCCCGGAGGTTGTCACGGTAAACTTCGACGACAAGGTCAGTGCAAGCGGTCGTTCCCTGCAGAAGCAAAAGCTGCAAGTGCTCCAGGTCACATGGGGAAATACTGCAACCAGTCGTGCTTTCACTGCCACGTGGAAGCCGGCCCGGGCCGCAAGGAAATCATGGAACGGACCACCGTGGACGACGTTTTGCGATTCCTTGAGAACTCCGACATCCCCACGGTGGACATCACCGGTGGCGCGCCTGAACTGAATCCCCACTTCGACTACCTGGTGGAGTCCTGCAAGGGACTGGGACGTCACGTGATGGACCGTTGCAACCTGACGGTCTTCTACGAGGAAGACAAGGAGTACCTGCCCGAGTTCTTCAAGCGTCACCGTGTCGAGGTGGTCTGCTCGCTGCCCTGCTACACCAAGGAGAACGTGGACAGCCAGCGCGGCAACGGCACCTTCGAGTTGAGCGTGCGCGGGCTGCAGGAACTCAACCGCCTGGGCTACGGCCAGCCGGATTCGGGCCTGGATCTCAATCTCGTCTACAACCCCATGGGGAACTACCTGCCGCCACCGCAGGAAGAGCTCGAAGGCGACTATCGGCGCATGCTCGGCGAGGAGTTCGGCATCGTCTTCAACCATCTCTACTGCCTGACCAACATGCCCATCACCCGTTTCAAGAAATTCCTCAAGCAGCGGGGACAATACGACGAGTACCTGCAGCTCCTGGAAGACAACTTCAACGGCGAGACCGTGGACAAGGTCATGTGCCGGGACCTGCTGAGCGTGGCCTGGGACGGCTCGGTGTACGACTGCGACTTCAACCAGATGATCGACATGCCCCTGGGCCGGGTGAACGGGAAGCGGCCGCACATCCGGGAGTTCTCGGCGGCGGATTTCACGGACCAGCCCATCCTCACGGGGGAACCATTGCTTTGCCTGCACCGCCGGCACCGGCAGCAGTTGCGGCGGCGCGTTGATCTGACGGACGCGTTGCCGACGACAAGCATTCCTGCGAAGTCTCGTAGGCCGATTCGTGTGACACCACCCTAGCCCGCGGACAACCCGTCCATGCGGCTTTCCATCATCATTCCCGTCCTGAACGAAGAACGCACCATCGCCGGCACCGTCAGCGATCTGGCGCGTATCGAAGCTTGCGAGATCATCGTCGTGGACGGCGGCAGCACGGACCGCACCGCGGAAGTCGTACGGGACGGCGCCGCCCGCCTGGTGGCCGCCGCGAGGGGGCGCGCCGCGCAGATGAACCAGGGCGCGCGGCACGCTGCCGGTGACGTGCTGCTGTTCCTCCACGCGGACACCCGGCTGCCCGCCACCGCGGGGTCCGACGTGGAAGGCTCCATGGCCGACCACGGTTGCGTCGGCGGCCGGTTCGACATCCGTCTGGACAGCCCGCGTCCGCTGCTCCGGGTCGTCGGGCACATGATCAGTTTGCGTTCCCGCCTGACCCGTGTGGCCACCGGAGATCAGGCCATCTTCGTACGGCGAACCGTCTTCGAAGGCCTCGGTGGTTTTTCCCGAAATACCCATCATGGAGGATGTGGCGTTCTGCCGCGCGCTGAAGAGGCAGGGCCGCATCGCCTGCCTCCGCTCACGGGTGGTGAGCTCGGCCCGCCGGTGGGAGCAGAACGGTCCGGTACGGACAATTCTGCTCATGTGGGCCTTGAAGGTCCTCTACCTGGCCGGCGTAGCGCCGGCCAGGTTGAAGCGGCTGTATAGCGAGGCCCGTTAGGGTTCGGGACCGCCCGAGTAGTGGAATTGTAGGGGCGACCGCCCGGTCGCCCCTACGGGGTCCACCGTAACGCAGGCTGCCGGCGGTCCGCCGGCCGGTTTAACACCGTCCGCGTAAAACGCCGCGAAAGGGCGGCAACTTTGACGGTTTCATCGGCTTTGTGCTAGGCTACGTCCTCTCGATGGTTCCCGGAGAGCTGTGTGGAATTGAATAAACAGCAGGAGATTCTGGCCAAGCACAAGGAGTACCTGTTCTCCTGCGTCGCCAACTACTATGAAGAGCCCTTGGTAGTGGACGCGGGCCAAGGACTCCCTGATCTACGACGTGGAGGGGCGGGAGTACGTAGTCCTGGACTTCTTCGGCGGCATCGTGACCATCAGCGTCGGCCACTGCAACGACAAGGTGGTGGCCGCCATCCAGGAACAGACGCGCAAGGTCCAGCACACCTCGACCCTCTACCCCAACGAGCCGCACGTCCGTCTGGCCGAGAAGCTCGCGGCCATCACCCCCGGGGCGCTGAAGCAGTCCTTCTTCACCAACAGCGGCACCGAGGCCAATGAAACCGCGGTGCTGGTGGCGCAGCTCTACACCCGGTCCCAGGACGTCATCGCGCTGCGCCACGGCTACAGCGGCCGTTCGCAACTGGCCATGAGCCTCACCGGGCACTATACGTGGCGGCTCAATCCCACCGCGAGCCCGAACATCCATCACATTCCCAATGCCTACTGCTACCGCTGCCCGTTCGGGCTCACCTATCCCAGTTGCGACCTCAAGTGCGCCAAGGACCTGGAAGGCGCGATCCAGACCGCCACGTCGGGAAGGATCGCCGCGTTCATTGCCGAGCCGATCCAGGGCGTGGGCGGGTTCATCACCCCGCCCAAGGAGTACTTCCGGGAGGTCGCCGACATCGTGCACAAGTACGGCGGCCTGTTCATCTGTGACGAGGTCCAGACCGCATGGGGCCGGACCGGCGGCAAGATGTTCGGCATCGAGCAGTGGGACGTGGAGCCGGACATCATGACCTTCGCCAAGGGCATGGCCAACGGCGTGCCGTCGGAGGCACCATCACCCGGCCGGAGATCGCCGACAGCATCAAGGGACTGTCCCTCTCCACCTTCGGCGGCAATCCGGTGACCAGCGCCGCGGCCCTGGCCACGATCGAAGTCATCGAGAGCGAAGGGCTGGTGACCAACGCGGCCGATCGGGGACGACAGCTCCGGGACGGATTGGAAGGGCTCAAGGATAAGTATCCCCTTATGGGCGATGTCCGCGGTATGGGTCTGATGCAGGCCATCGAGATGGTAGGGCCGGACAAGACCCCGAGCCCGGAAGCCGTCGCACGGTTGTTCGAGCTGACCAAACAAAACGGGCTGCTGATCGGAAAGGGCGGACTCATGGGCAACGTGATCCGCATCACCCCGGCGCTCAACGTCACCCGGGACCATGTGGACGAGGCGCTCGATCGGCTTGACCGGTCGCTGGCGCAGATGGGACGTAACTTCGAATGATTCGACGCAGGATTATCGGGGCCATACCGTACTGATCGGGATGTCCTTTCTGGTCTTCTTCCTGATGCAGCTCGCGCCGGGGATCCGGTGACGCTTCTGCTCGGCGAGGACGACGCGAGCCCCACGAGATCGAGGAGATCACCCGCGAGTGGGGGCTCGACCAGCCCATCATCGTCCAGTACTGGCGGTTCGTGTCGCAGGCCGTCCAGGGAAACTTCGGCGAGTCCATGCGTTACGGAGAGCCGGTGACCGAGCTCGTGATAGAGCGGTTGCCGGCCACCGTGGAGCTGGCGCTGGCGAGTCTCCTGGTCGCCATCGTCATCGCGCTCCCCATCGGCGTCTACTCCGCCATCAAGCACAATTCCCTGTGGGATCATTCGGGCATGACCCTGGCGCTGGTGGGCTTATCCGTGCCCAACTTCTGGCTCGGCATCATGCTCATCTTCTTCCTGGGCGGCCAGTGGAATCTGTTGCCGGTGGCGGGACGGCTGACCTATGGCGTCGACGTCACGCCGGTGACCCAACTCATGCTGGTGGACGCCTTGATCGCGGGCGACCTCCCGGCTTTCTGGGACGCCTTCAAGCACATCCTGCTGCCCGCCGTCACCCTGGGAACGAGCTTCGCCGCCATCATCACGCGCATCTCTCGTTCCAGCGTGCTGGAGGTCATCCGGCAGGACTACATCACCACCGCCCGGGCCAAGGGATTGAGTGAGCGCACGGTCATCTGGAAGCACACGCTCCGGAACGCCCTCATCACCATCATCACCATCCTCGGCCTCCAGCTCGGCGCTCTCCTGAGCGGCTCGGTCATCACCGAGACGGTGTTCTCCTGGCCCGGCATCGGCAGCCTTCTCATCCAGGCCATCACCACCCGGGATTACAAGCTGGCCCAGGGCGTCATCTTGTTCTTTGCCATGGTCTATTTCTTCATCAACCTGACGGTGGACCTGCTGTACACGTGGGTCGATCCGAGGATACGGCTGTGATCGGCTGGCGTCGCTACGCGAAGGTCATGATCGGCGGGGCCATCGTGCTCCTGCTGTGCATCTGCGGGCTGGGTGCCCCCTTGCTGGCGCCCTTCGATCCCCAGGAGCAGGCCCTGGAGCAGCGGCTCCGCCCGCCCTCGATGGACCTGGCCGAGAACCCCCACGTCATGGGCACCGACAACCTCGGCCGGGACCTCCTGAGCCGGGTCATCTACGGCTCGCGCATCTCGCTGATGGTGGGAGCCGCCACGGTGTTCCTGGCGGGCATCCTGGGCTGCTTTCTCGGAGCGGTGGCGGGATACTACGGCGAGATGATCGACGAGGTCATCAACAAAACCACGGAGATCTTTCTCGCCTTCCCATTCCTGCTGCTGGCCATCGCCATCATGGCGTTTCTGGGACAGGGCCTGGTGAACCTCGTCATTGCCTTGGTGCTCAGCCGCTGGGTGCAGTATTGCAGGGTGGTCCGGGGGGAAGTGCTGTCACTCAAGGAACGCGAGTTCGTCCAGGCCGCCCGGGCGCTGGGGGCCAGCAACCGCTACATCATCCTGCGCCACGTGATTCCCAACACGCTGCCAAGCGTCATGGTCATCGCCACCTTCGCCATGGCCATAGTCATCATCACCGAGGCGAGCCTGAGCTTCCTGGGGCTGGGCGTTCCCCCCAGCATCCCCACCTGGGGCTCCATGCTGAGCGAAGGCCGCAGCTACATGTACCGCGCCCCCTGGCTCACCATCTTTCCCGGCATCGCCATCTTCATCACCGTCCTCGGCATCAATCTGCTGGGAGACGGCCTGCGCGACATCATCGATCCGAAGCTGACGCGCAACCGATAAGACAAAAGACAAAAAAAGAACCCCTCTCCCACGGAGGGAGAGGGGTTCGCAGGGATGCAAAAGCGTCAGCGAAACGACACCGTCACTTCGGATACATGCCCGCGTCGCTCCGGCCCAGCAGGGCCTGTCCGACCTTGTCCACGTGCATCTTCGGGGTGTCCTCCATGATTTTCGCCTTGCCCGAGCCCGGATAGTGAGCGCAGAACGGGCTCGACGGATCCGCCATGATGCCGTCACCCGCGGCGACCCGCATCAGACGGCAATCGAGGGATTCCCACCACGCACCCACGCTGTCGAATCCACCCTCTCCGTAGATGGTCTTCGCCGCGGCGTCCACGAGCTTCTTCGTGTCGGCGTCCAAGCCAGCGTACATCTTCTTCGCCGCCATCGCCTGAGCTCCGTGGCCTTGTCTCCGTGCAACGCCGCCACCATCTGCTCCGGGGTCAGCGTGTTCCACCACCGCATGGCCATATCCGACTCCGCCAGCGCGGAGGGAATGACCACCAGCGACACGGCCACGGCCGTGACCAGCGCAGCCAGGCCGACCCGCATGCTGTTCTTGATCCGATTCATCATCAACTTTCTCCTTTTGTCGTCTGCCGTTGTCCTGATCCAATCTGTTTCCAAACGTATACGATAACATCCCGCCCGACCCTGTTCAAATCTTGACATACCGCGTGACGTGGCTGGCGATTTTCGGTGGCCAATGTCCCTTCCACAGCGTGCGCCTGGTGTCCTGTCCGGTTAATTCGGATGATCATATGCGGAGGATCTTTGGTTGTCGGCAAGGCGCGATGACTTGTAGGGGCGGGTTTGAAACCCGCCCCTACAAGTCATCGCGCCTTGCCGACAACCAAAATGCCCTCGCAGATTCATAAGCGTATTTGTGAGACACCACACTAGCTCCCGGACTCCGCGGTCAGCCGGCGTCCGCAAGGACACTCTCGATAGCGGCCAGAAACGGCTCCGCGAAAGCCTTGAGCTTGGCGGCGCCCACCCCGTTCACCTCGGCGAACTCTTCCTCCGTCCGCGGCCGGCGGCGCACCATGTCGATCAGCGTGCGGTCGGGGAACACGACATACGCCGGCACCCCGCGCTCATTGGCGAGCCGGAGCCGCAGCGCCTTGAGCGCATCCAAAAGCGCCGTCTCGGGGCCACTCAGCGAGCCGTCCTGGGGCTCCTTCCGGCGCCGCCCCCCCGGGTCACGCGCCGGCTCGGATGAACGGGCCGGCGCCGTGTCCCGGCGATACAGGAACACGCTCTCGCCCTGTAGCAGACCGCGGCCCTTGCCGGTGATGGAGAGGCCGCCATAGCCCCCGATGTCGAGCCGGAGCAACCCGGTGGCCACCATCTGACGGATCAGCGACCGCCACTCGTTCTTGCCCCGGGCAGCGCCCATCCCGAAGGTGGGCAGCCGGTCATGGCCGGCGCGTCCGACCTTCTCCGTCGCGGTGCCGCGCAGCACGTCGATGACGTGCGCCGCGCCGAACCGTTCGCCGGTGCGATAGACCGCGGCAAGGATCTTTTGCGCATCCTCGGTGCCGTCGATGCGCTCGGCCGGGTCGAGGCAGACGTCGCAATTGCCGCAGGGCTCGTTCTGTTCCCCGAAATACTCCAGTAGCGTCACCCGCCGGCAAGCGGGAGCCTCACAGTAGCCGAGCAACGCGTCGAGACGCTTGTGCTCGCGGCGCCGCCGCTCCGGCCCGGCGTCCTCCTCCTCGATGAACTGCCGCCGCATGCGGATATCGGCCAGGCCGTAGAGCATGTGCGCTTCCGCCGCCCGGCCGTCGCGTCCGGCCCGGCCGATCTCCTGATAGTAGGCCTCGACGCTCCCGGGCAGATCCGTGTGCAGGACGTAGCGTACGTCCGCCTTGTCGATGCCCATGCCGAAGGCGATGGTGGCCACCATCACCACCCCGGGATCGGTCATGAAGACGTTCTGGTGGGCCTCCCGATCGGTCTTCTCCATGCCCGCGTGGTAGGGAAGCGCCCGGACGCCGTCGGCCACCAGCAGCGCCGCGGTCTCCTCCGTCTTCTTGCGCGACAGGCAGTAGACGATGCCGCTCTCGCCTTCATGACGCCCGATAAAGCTCCGGCACTGGCGCTTCCATTCGCGCTTCATCTCCACGGCGAGCCGAATGTTGGGGCGGTCGAAGCCCAGGACGAAGGAATCCACCTCGCCGCCGAACAACCGGTCGGCGATGTCCTCGCGGGTGATGGCATCGGCGGTGGCGGTGAGGGCGGCGATGGGGACGCCCGGAAAGAGATGGCGGAGGCGGCACAGGTCCTCGTATTCGGGCGGAAGGACGGACCCCATTGCGAAATGCAGTGGGCCTCGTCGATGGCGAACAGTTTGATGGGCAGCCGGCCCAGGGCCTCGAGCATGCGCTCGGTCATCAGCCGCTCCGGCGCCATGTACAGAAGCCGGGTCTCCCCTGCCGCGGCGCGACGCCAGGCGGCGATGTTCACCGCGCGCGGGTTGGCGGAGTTGATGCTGTCCGCCGCCACGCCGGCGAGGCGCAAGGCCGCCACCTGATCCTGCATCAGCGCCACCAGCGGTGACACCACCACGGTGAGTCCGCCCAGAGCCAGCGCCGGCACCTGGAAGCACAGCGACTTGCCGGACCCCGTGGGCATCACCGTCAGCACGTGCCGGCCGGCCAGCAACGCCTCGATGGCGCCTCCTGGCCCGGACGGAATGCGTCGAACCCAAAGACGTCCTTCAGCACGCGGCGCGCGGCGGTGGTCATCAGGTCAGTATCGGCGAGACTTCGATCGTGTGACACGGCGTCCTTCGACTTCGCTCCGCTTGCGCTGCGCTACGCTCAGGACGAACGGGGGGATCGACCTGCAACCGTTCGTCCTGAGCGTAGCGCAGCGAAGTCGAAGGACTCCTTGCCGACAACCAAATGCCCTCGCATCTTCACAAGCGGATTTGTGACGCGGGACACTAGATCAGGTCGCCGCGGCGCGCTCCGCCACCATGTAGTCGCATACGCGAAAGGCGTTGGCCTCGATGGTGAGCGTGGGGTTGAGGCCGGCGGCGGTCACGAACACGCTGGCGTCGACGACGAAGAGATTGGACACGTCGTGGGAACGGCACCACTTGTCCACCACCGACGACTCGGGGTCGTTGCCCATCCGGCAGCTGCCCATCTGGTGGTTGTGGAGCTTGCGGGTCTCGGGCTTGGGCACGATGATCCGGGTCGCTCCCGCGGCTTCGTAGATCTCCCGGGAACGCTCTCCGAGGTAGGTGGCCAGCCGGACGTCGTTCTCGTGGCTGGTATAGGTGATGCGCGCCACCGGCAGCCCGTAGCAGTCCGTCACCTCGGGGTCGAGGTCCACGGCGTTGCTCTCCACCGGAAGGCTCTCGCCGGTGCAGTGGCTGTGCAGGTAGTGACTCCAGGTCTCGCGCATGGAGTCCTTGTGCTCCTTGCCCCAACGCTTGCCGTGGATGGGCCGGAGCGCCAGCTCGATGGGATCGCCGCCGTGAGCCCGGGGGTGCATGAAGCCGCCGCGGATGAATCCCCGCTTGGTGTCGGTCTCGTAGAAGTCCTGGAGCACCCGGGTGCTGGAGGTCCCCTTGTGGCCGTCCAGCGGCTCGGGGAACGTCACCACCAGGGTCACGCCCGGGGAATGGAACATGAGGTTCTTGCCCACCAGGCCGCTGCGATTGGACAGCCCCTGGGGGAACCGCGCGGACTCGGACATGAGCAGGAGCCGGGCCGTCTCCACGCCGCCGGCCGCCATGACCACCAGGCGGGCCGGCTGGTGCTCCTCCTCGCCCTCGCCGTTGAAATAGGTGACGCCGGAGGCCCTGCCCTGCCGGTCGAGGGTGATCTCCCGCGCCAGGCAGAGGGGGCGGATCTCCAGGCGGCCGGTGGCCAGGGCCTTGGGCAGCATCGACTCCAGGGTGCTGGACTTGGCCCCCACCGGGCAGCCGTAGGCCGAGCACATCCCCTTGCCGATACAGCCCGGACGGCCGTCGTAGTCGCCGGTGAGGATGGCCAGGGGCGTGGGAAAGGGATGCAGCCCGAGCTTGCGAGCTCCCCTTTCCAGGGCTGCTCCGGGGCTGTTGCGGTCCGCCGGCCCCACCGGGTAGTCACGCTTGCGCGGCGGATCGAAGGGGTTCGACCAGCCCTTCCCCGAGATGCCGACGGTCCACTCCGCCTTCTCGTAGAAGGGCTCCATGTCGTCGTAGGAGATGGGCCAGTCCTCGATGGTGGTGCCCGCCAGCGGACCGTCCTCGGACTTCACGCGGAAGTCCGACTCGTGGAAGCGCCAGGAAAGCCCGCTGTAGTGGATGGTCCCGCCGCCCACGCACATGGCGTTGGAGAAGGTCTGGGTCTTGGGTGGACAGGATCTCGGCCGGCGTGTCGGCGTTGGGCCGCCAGGTGCGCGGCTCGAGCTCCACCGTGGGCCAGAAGAAGTTGCGCCGCTTGTAGGTGAGCTCGTCCCCAGGGCGAAGTCCTCGCGCTTGTACCAGGGGCCCCGCTCCAGCACGCACACGGTCATGCCCGCCTCGGTGAGCTCCTTGGCCGCCACCAGCCCCGAGGCCCACCCCCTATGATGCAGACGTCCACGGTTTCGCGTTGTGCCATCTGTCTCCATCCGCGCGCGAGCCTCACCCGCCTCTCCCAGAGGGAAGGGGAGATGTCAGGACGAGCGGTCTTTCCTGTCTTTGGCGAACTCGTCAGGCTCGTTGGCGTCGTACCAGCCGTAAGGGGTTTCGTTGCCGTGCGGAAAGCTCGGGCCGGGGTATCCCAGGGCCTGCCATCCCACCCCGTCCTTGTTGCCGCCGTGCCGCGGGTGCCCGTAGAACCCCTCCATGGTATGGGTGAGAAGAAGCGCGAAGAACGGGTCTTTCCGCTCGTCCAGGACGGTCAGACCTGATCGCGCCTCGCATCGTCCAGCCCGCGGAGGCGGGCCGACGCCCATGTTCCGCGAGGCCACCAGCGTCCAGCCTTCGCCACCCGTACGCGGTAGGCCTGCCGGTGCCGGCTGCCCAGACCGTTGAGCTTGAACAGCGTCGCCTGCTGCTCCTCGGTGCGGCCCCCCATGCTTCCCAGCACGAAGTTGCGCATCTCCTTCTTCTCCGACGGCACTCGCTGTCGTGGTCCACGTCATCCGTCGCCAGAAGCCCCTCGATGTAATCGATGACGCCCGCCTCGCGCGCGCCGGCGTCCTCGTCCGAGGGGACGATGCGCGCCGCCGCCGCCTCGATCGTGGCCCGCTCGTGGTCTGACAAGACACCGCCTGTTTCCGTATTGCTCATGAAGAACCTGCTTCCATGGTGAACCGCCCCGCAGGAGCGTGGCGGGGCCGTTGGGATGGGTCATCATACAACAGAGACGGATAGGGAGAAGGGTGCTTACTTGTCTGGGGGGGGGACATGAGTAAACGTGAAGTGAGAAATTGAAGGTGTGAGAAGCGGACCTGCTTTCGCTCTTCGCCCTTCTTTCCATGACTACGGAATGAACCCTTGAGATCCACGATTATGGCGAAAGGCGCCATATCACGATAACGCCGGATATCCTTCAGGCGTTCGAACAAATCGGCGAACGACAGATCGGCCGCGCGGGCCGGGGCGTCTTGCCGGGACCTGGTCTGCGGCGAATCAATCGCATCCGCACGATTCACGGCTCGCTGGCCATCGAGGGCAACATCCTCAGCGAGGAGGAGATCGTACGATCCTCGACGGCACGAATGTTGACGCTCGGGCCGCGAGACATTGAGGAAGCCGCACGGCATCGGGCATACGATCATTCCGCGGTGGGATTTCGGCAACGAGACGACATGCTGTTCAGTCAAGCTTCTGATGGCCGCCTGCTGGAGCAACCGGGCGCTATCGCCAGTAAGGTGGCCCGTTGAGGGGGTGGGTCGAGAAGAGATTCACAAAATAGGAC